CTCAGAGACATATCTCAGACTCTCACCTCAGAGACTCACCTCAGACTCACATACCTCAGAGACTCACAACTCAGAGACTCACCTACCTCAGAGACTCACCTTAGACTCTCACCTCAGAGACTCACCTCAGACTCACCTACCTCAGAGACTCACCTTAAACTCTCACCTCAGAGACTCACTTTAGACTCACATCACAGAGACTCACCTCAGACTCACACCACAGAGACTCACCTTAGACTCTCACCTCAGAGATTCACCTCAGACTCTCACCTCAGAGCCTCACCTCAGAGACTGACCTTAGACTCACCCCTCAGAGACTCACCTTAGACTCTCACCTCAGAGACTCGCCTTAGACTCACCCCTCAGAGACTCACCTTAGACTCTCACCTCAGAGACTCGCCTTAGACTCTCACCTCAGAGACTCACCTCAGACTCACACCTCAGAGACTCACCTTAGACTCTCACCTCAGAGACTCACCTCAGACTCACCCCTCAGAGACTCACCTTAGACTCTCACCTCAGAGACTCGCCTTAGACTCTCACCTCAGAGATTCACCTCAGACTCTCACCTCAGAGCCTCACCTCAGAGACTGACCTTAGACTCTCACCTCAGAGACTCACCTCAGACTCACCCCTCAGAGACTCACCTTAGACTCTCACCTCAGAGACTCGCCTTAGACTCTCACCTCAGAGACTCACCTCAGACTCACACCTCAGAGACTCACCTCACTTACACCTTAGACTCACATCAGACTCACAACTCAGAGACTCACCTCAGAGTCACAACTCTGACTCACATCTCAGAGATCTGCATCAGACTCACCTTAGACTCAACGCAGAATCACCACAGAGACCCATCTCAGAGACTCACCTCACACCTCAGGGACTCACATCAGACTCACCTCAGACTCACCTCAGACACCTACCTCAGAGAATCACCTCAGAGGCTCACCTCAGACTCACCTCAGACACCTACCTCAGAGAATCACCTCAGAGGCTCACCTCAGACACTTATCTCAGAGACTCACCTCAGACACTTACCTCAGAGACTCACCTCAGACTCTCACCTCAGAGACTCACTTTAGACTCACATCACAGAAACTCACCTCAGACTCACACCTCAGAGACTCACCTCAGACTCACCTACCTCAGAGACTCACCTTAGACTCTCACCTCAGAGACTTACCTCAGACTCACCTACCTCAGAGACTCACTTTAAACTCTCACCTCAGAGACTCACTTTAGACTCACCTACCTCAGAGACTCACCTTAAACTCTCACCTCAGAGACTCACTTTAGACTCACATCACAGAGACTCACCTCAGACTCACCTACCTCAGACTCACCTTAGACTCTCACCTCAGATTCACCTCAGACTCACCCCTCAGAGACTCACCTTAGACTCTCACCTCAGAGCCTCACCTCAGAGACTTACCTTAGACTCTCACCTCAGAGACTCACTTTAGACTCACATCACAGAAACTCACCTCAGACTCACACCTCAGAGACTCACTTTAAACTCTCACCTCAGAGACTCACTTTAGACTCACATCACAGAGACTCACCTCAGACTCACCTACCTCACTCACCTTAGACTCTCACCTCAGAGACTCACCTCAGACTCACACCACAGAGACTCACCTCAGACTCACCTACCTCACTCACCTTAGACTCTCACCTCAGAGACTCACCTCAGACTCACACCACAGAGACTCACCTTAGACTCTCACCTCAGAGATTCACCTCAGACTCTCACCTCAGAGCCTCACCTCAGAGACTGACCTTAGACTCACCCCTCAGAGACTCACCTTAGACTCTCACCTCAGAGACTCGCCTTAGACTCACCCCTCAGAGACTCACCTTAGACTCTCACCTCAGAGACTCGCCTTAGACTCTCACCTCAGAGACTCACCTCAGACTCACACCTCAGAGACTCACCTTAGACTCTCACCTCAGAGACTCGCCTTAGACTCTCACCTCAGAGATTCACCTCAGACTCTCACCTCAGAGCCTCACCTCAGAGACTGACCTTAGACTCTCACCTCAAAGACTCACCTCAGACTCACCCCTCAGAGACTCACCTTAGACTCTCACCTCAGAGACTCGCCTTAGACTCTCACCTCAGAGACTCACCTCAGACTCACACCTCAGAGACTCACCTCACTTACACCTTAGACTCACATCAGACTCACAACTCAGAGACTCACCTCAGAGTCACAACTCTGACTCACATCTCAGAGATCTGCATCAGACTCACCTTAGACTCAACTCAGAATCACCACAGAGACCCATCTCAGAGACTCACCTCACACCTCAGGGACTCACATCAGACTCACCTCAGACTCACCTCAGACACCTACCTCAGAGAATCACCTCAGAGGCTCACCTCAGACTCACCTCAGACACCTACCTCAGAGAATCACCTCAGAGGCTCACCTCAGACACTTATCTCAGAGACTCACCTCAGACACTTACCTCAGAGACTCACCTCAGACACTTACCTCAGAGACTCGACTCGGTGTTGAATTCCAAAGACCCAAGTTTTGACTTGGACTTAAAACCCCAGAGATTTGAGACTCTACTCAGACACACACCTCAGACTCAATGCTTGACTAAGACTCATACCTCAGACTTGAGCCTGATTCGGACTTCGAGACTTGAGGCTCGATTCGGACTCGCAACTCTGAGACCTGACTCAAAACTGTAACTAGGATACTTAAAACTCGACTCAGATCTGCACCTCAGAGACTCGAGTCAGACTCGCATCTCAAGAGATAATCAACTCGGACTCATAACTCAGAGACGTGAGGCTCTGACTCACGTGGATCCACTTCTGAACATTTCTGGTTTATTCTCATTTTATCCTTAATAGACCAATAGACCGCCCCTGGGCCCTGATGATGGGCGCGAGAGCTGGCAGGAAGGCAGGGCCCGAACCCAAAGCATAGACAAAACCCTGTGTAGATAACAGGGAGAGGATGAGATTTCAGAGGGAGTGGTGGGCAACATGCAAGTCCTAAGCCTCGCCTCCTGGACACCGCTTCCGGCAACATGACGAGGCCGCTGACTATGCCTCACGTTCAATCCTGGCGGCCAAAGCTGTGGAGTATGGATGGTGATGGGGCTATAAATAATAATTTTTTATTCAGTTTAATTTGTACACATCGCTCTTTCCTAAGCTAGATATTTTGTCCTTTGAGAGCGTGAGCTTTCCTTCCCTTGCAGCTCAGGAGCAGCACCGTTAAAAAGAGCAGAGAGGGAACAGAAAGAGAGGAGATGGACAAGCAGCTTTTTGCTCCCCCTAGCTCTCGCTCTCAAAGGACAAAATATCTAGCTTAGGAAAGAGCGATGTGTACAAATTAAACTGAATAAAAAATTATTATTTATAGCCATTGTCTGTTTAGTCTTTAATATTTTCTTGCAACAACCAAATATACAGATTTCTAACAATGTTTTTTTGCTAACCAACACAACAGCAGCTTCAGTTTAGATGTTTCAGCAGTTGATGCACTGAAGTTGTGGATGTTAGAGTCATGCTCAGTTCAATACAGGGTGATTAGAGCTTAGTTAATCAAAAAAGTCATTTTTTTGTGCTTTATATGTGGTGTCTGGTGGTTTGCCCTGAAGGGGAGAAATAAATACTAAGCAATTACTAAGCTCAACATTAAAACTAGTTTGTGTAGTGCAACCTGTTTTGATGTATATTTGAAGTATTAACTCAAGCTTAGGAAACACTTACATCACAACTAGCCTACGTTTGAATTCATTTATAGCTGGGGCACCCAGCCCCACATGCCTTAGTGTTGCCTGAGAGGCAAGACAGCTTGTTAGATGCAGGTTGGAACTAAACTTTGTAGGAAAGCAGATCTTCAGGAGGAGGGTTTGTGACCACTGGTTAAACTGATGCTGCTTTTGAGGCACAATGTTAGAATCTGTCAGTTAACCCTCGTGAGTCACTGATCACACTAGCATGATCAAAATACGTGGCTGATTCAAGATGTCACAGCATAAAAACAAAGTCATGTTGAGCATTGCTGTCAAAGTCCATTGAAAGTACCTGCAACGCTGTGCTAGTTTTTGTTTGATGCTGAAAGACCAAACAGACCTGTGATGGACTGTCAGGTCATGTAGGTGACGTTGTGCAGAAAAAAGATACTAAACATTGGCATGGTAAACCTTTTTTCATGTGGTATATAAAGGCAAAATCAGAAATATTTAAAAATCATCCTCTCTGGTCCACAATGTTGTATGCGACATCAAAGGATAAAAAATAAATATCTCGGGAATGCTGCACGCTAGAGCATTACTTTCATTTTTGTTTTTTGCACTTTGTTTGTTTTGTGCTTTTGGCTGTTTTGTACATTTGTGTTTGGGGTTTCTGAAGCATCTTGGGCCAGTTGTGGTTTTGAAGTTGAACTCTGCTGGACTGAAATTGTTTTGTACTGTTGAACTGAACACTCATTCTCTGGGATGTCTTGGAGAAGAGAGGCACTGTTACTGTGTGACTTCAGATTAAGACACATGAACATGGATATCGGTTTGTAAACTGGTCTGTTTTGGGGGGATATAAAACTTACTGTGTTGAAAGAACAAACTTCACCCAATATAACTTCTTTATCTAAACTTCAACTGAATTAACAGTGTCTCAGTTCTTTTAGTAACTTCTGAATACTAATCAAGCCCAAACTGCACATTTTTGTCAGTGAAACATTATTAATTTCTCAGTTGGCTAAACTGTGTCTGGGTATCTGCGTCTATTAAAGTTTTCATTGTCTGTTGATTGAGATGGGCGTTCAAACATTTCTGCAAACTCTGCTAACTCTCAAGGCATTCTGAAGATTCCTCTTTCTGGTAACACTTTTTTGAGACTGTAAAGGCATCAGCATTTTTTTTTTTGCTTTGGTCAGTAACAGTAATTTTCTGCTTAGCATCACCATGGTCATGTGTCTTATAACCCCTGTACCCCAGCCCCCAATACAGCTATATATACAAAGAGAACTCCGCACTCTTCACAGACTCACCAACGCATCTCCTCCTTCTCCGACTTTCAGGACACAAACTCCTCCAGACACCATGAACAAGGTCATTGTCTATGAGAAGCCAAACTTTGAGGGCCTGAGCAAAGAGTTCACCTCCAACGTTTCAAACTTAAATGACGAGAGCTTCAATGACTGCATCTCCTCTGTGAAGGTGATCGGAAATCCATGGGTGTTATACAGCGATCCCAATTTCAGTGGTTATCAGTACATCTTTGACGAGGGAGAATATCCCACGGTGGACTGGGATAACAGCACTTCTTCTCTAGAGGTGGTGACCGAGGACCTGGAAGATCCTCAGATCACACTGTATGATGAGCCAAACTACAAAGGGAAGAGTGTCGTCCTCACCTGTGAGACCAACTTGTATTATAGCTCTTTCGACAATTCTGCATCTTCTCACAAAGTCCAGAGAGGAGCGTGGGTTCTCTACCAGTATGCGAATAGAGTTGGGTATCAGATGTTGGCCAGAGCTTCTCGTGACATGCCCGATTATGAATGGTTCAGCAACCGACTGAGCCACCTGCGTCCTCTTAAGCCAGGGAAACCCACTGTAACAGCCACGGTGCTCTGGGACAAGAAGGAAGAACAAGTCAAATCTGTCATTATTGACTCCATATGTGGTCTGAACAGCGGATCGCGAGAGCAGACCTTCAACACGGAGCTCAATCGAGAGTACGAGGGCTCCATCACTGACAGCTTCAGCTTCAGCAATGCTACGCAGATCGGCTACGAAACAAAATTCAGTGTACAGGTGGCAGAAATGAGTTCAGAGAAGACGTTCTCTTTCAGCAACACCTTCACTGTGGAAAAGGGGAAAACCAACACCAGAACCGAGAAGAAGAGTGTCAGAGTCTCGCTGCCAACCACTATCCCTCCTCGCACCAAGGTCACCGTGAATGTGGTGAGGAAGGAGGTGGAGGTGAAGGTCCCAGTGGAACTGATCATCACCACCGGTTTCCATAAGAAGACTGAGTATGGGCAGTATGTGTGTTCTGATGGGAGCTCCATCATCAGCGAGTTCAAGGAAGAACCTCTCTAAGGTGTCAATGAGTAGATATAGAGATTCACAAAATCTTTTATCAGTATTTTAATGAGCTTATTGTGCCAACAAACAATCAGAAAATGATGCAATTCAGTACGATGCTTTCTGAGATGCTCTTTGTTTAAAATGTTCTAAAATAGTTAAAACTAGTTAAACCAGCTTTCTGAAACATATTATTATTTTAACTATCATTACTTTTATCATTGCATTTTTCTTATTTCTATTTATTTTTATATTTGTACTTTCACATCTCTTACCAAATCAATTTATTTGCATTTGTGCTTATTTTGTTTATTAAATTCATGTCTTTTTTTCCATGTGTTAATGGAATGCATGTGGTATTCTGAGTTGTAATTAAATATTTGAAATGATGACCATTCTTATATGTAGAACCTTTCAGGCTATTAAACTTGTTTTGTTTGATTGTTTGATTATCGAGTGTTGGATTTTCCTGGTGCAAGAATTTTAAGTGTAACTTTAAAAATCCCAAAATAAACTTTTTCTTGAACACATGAAGGTCATAATCATTGTCTCTGAATAATAAAGAGGAAATAAAAACAGATTCACTGTCACAAAACAGGTCATCTTGGATGACCGTGGATGTTGTTGTGATGGTGGGCTTTCCCACCAGACCTGTTGCAAGACAGGACACCATTTAATCAAGAAACCAGCTCAGGTTTACTGAAAAGTCTCAGTGGTAAGATGTTAAGCTTTGGGTAAATGTAGCTGTAACAGAAACAACTAATGATTAGAAAACTAACCTGAAAGGAAAGAAACAAAAATACACCAAACGACCTAAACTCCCTGGTTAAAACCAAGAGAAAAGGTGAATATAAACACATGGCATCAAACTACACATGAAACTACCCACAGTGTTCACTAAAACACAGAAATTACTTCCAATCAGACAAAAAAATCCAAATGGGCTGATACAAAAACTGGGGTCAAAACAGGCGATGGGTCAGACACACTTACAACAATGACGACCAGTCGATCAGGAACAGAGGGTGGGTTCAACCATTCAGGAACAGCAGAGAGGATGATATGATGTGGGTGCTTTGATGAGTTCTAAACCGTGTACACCTGCTGCCACCTGCTGCTTCTTAAACTGTATTGCATCAGGAGTCTCAAACTGGGTTCCACAGCTCTGCCTTTAGATTAGCATTTAGCATGAAGACCTTGCTTTGGCTAAAAAGTTAAATCATGTTTCTTTTACTAAGGTAGAATACTAAACTCTGCAGAGTTGTGGCCCAGAAGGAATCAAGGATGATCAATATCATTTTTTTTTTAAAAAAAGGATAAATGCATGTAAATAAACCACTTATACTGTATTATAACAATGCTGTTTTGGATAGAAATAGAAATAACCAAGTCCTCCAGGCTAAAGAGGACAGGGATCATCCGGCTTCTTAAGAGCACACAGTTCAAAAGCCAGCATCCATGATGGTATAGTGGGGCATTAGTGCACATGGCATGGGTGACGTGCACATCTGTGAAGCACCATTAATGCTGAATGATATATACAAGTTTTGGCAACATATGCTGCCATCCAGACGACGTCTTTTTCAGGGAAGGCCTTGATTATTTCAGCAAGACAATGTAAAACCACATTCTGCATGTATTACAGCAGCATTGCTCCATAGTAAAAGAGTCTGGGTGCTAAACTGACCTGCCTGAGGTCCAAAACTGTCACCACTGAAACCTTGTCACATTATGAAATGAAAAATATGACAAATGAGCCCCTGAACTGATGAGCAGCTGAAATCCTGTATCAAAAAAGAACAGGAAAACATTTCACTTTCTAAACTACAGCAGTGTCTCCTCAGTTCCCAAACACTTACAGAGTGCTGTTAAAGAAGAGGTGATGAAACACAGTGGTAAACACGCCCCCGTCCCAACTTTTTTGGAATGTGTTGTTGGCATCAAATTCGAAATGGGCATATATTTAAAAAGAAAAACAATAAAATTTTCAGTTCAAAACAATTTCAAACCAATATAAAACTCAGTTTTAACATTTGGTATGTTGTTGTACTATTTTCAATTAAATATTGGGTTAAATGATTTCAACCTTACAAAAAGAAAAATGGTGTAGTCCAGCAGAGGGAGCTCCAACACAGGTGGAAATTGCATTGATTTGACAGGGAGAACGTAAACGGTTTGAGCTGTAGTGGAATAAAACTGAGTAAAATGGCAGTCAGTGGACTGATCTCTGTCTCAAGGCCTCATATTGCTCATATGACATAAGGCTGATGATAAGCGAGGCTGTTTTTATTTGTATTGGCTCTCTTTGTGCTGATAGTTGAGCAGCCCAAATCAAACACCCTCCACTTTCTCATACATCAGCCAGGCATGAGTAATTGATTATTACACGAATCAAGCGCCTCACATGGATAAAGTGTCTCTGTGTACATGATGCTGAATGAAGATAATTGGGGGGTGGGGGGGGTGGAAAGGTCAGTTGAAGGTAAAACTACTCCATTTTACACCATGTTATAAACCCCCACACACACCTCAGTGTGACTAACTGAAATGAAAGCTGTTGCTGGAATCCTGATTTTCACGCTCCGACTCTGGAATCATGAAACAGTTGGAGATCAGGTTCTGACGTTATGATGCTTCAATAATTAATTAGTCGCCCAACACACAGGACACACGTTAGCAACAGCATTAGCAATACTCAGTATAAGAGAAGCGTATCCAACAGCTGGTGAGTCACATCCACACGTTAGCTTTTATGGTTCAGTGACAGGCTGAACACCAAGCCGCTGGTCTGTTAACTGTTTTTCACAGCAGCCATGAAATGAAGTTTCTGTCTCTTTGGGTTTTTTTAGTTGAACTATAATCTTTTTTCCCCTCAGTAAGGCTGGTAAAAAATAAGTATGATGTATGATCTGGGTTTTTGTCCTCATAGGTGATCAAGTAAGTCTACATTTATAGTTTTTATTGTGTGTAAATGCTTTTTTATTGTGGTAGTTGTACAGGGATTTTACATCAAGAAAGCAGTGGAGCTCAATCAAACCCCTGTAGAGAACAGCATTGGCTTTGCATAAAATGCAAACTTTGCAAGCTTGTTATATTTCTTAGATAAAATGACAGATCCAGTCTCTGATCATGAACGTTTCCCTGATCCTGATCCAGTTCCTGATCCTACTTCCGGTCTCTGATCCTACTCCAGTCTCTAGGTATTACGGATGTGATGTACATTTTTTTCTAGTCATACTCTAGTCCCTAGTCTTGCCCATGTTCCTGATCCAATCTGACTTCAGTCTTCAATCTCTCCAGTCCCTTGTCCTCCTCCAATCTCTGATTCTACTCCAGGCCCCAGTCCTGATCATGTCCCTGATCCTGCACCAGTCTCTGATCCTATTCCAGGCCCTCGCCCCGCTCCAATCTCTGATTCTACTCCAGGCCCTAGTCCTGATCATGTCCCTGATCCTGCACCAGTCTCTGATCCTGAACATGTCCCTGATGTTGCTCCAGTCTCTGATCCTACTCCAGGTCCTTGTCTTGATCGTGTCCCTTGTCCTGCTCGAGTCTCTGATCCTACTCAAGACCCTGATCTTGATCATGTCCCTGATCCTGCTCCAGGCCCTCGTCCAACTCCAGTCTACAAACCAGTTCAAGGCCTTATTCCTGATCATGTCCATGGTCCTGCTTCAGTCTCTGATCCTACTCCAGACTCCAGTGATGCTCCAGTCTCTGATCCCGAGTGTGTCCCTGATCTTGCTCCAGTCCCTGATCCTATTCCAAACCCTAGTCCTGCTCCAGTGTCTGATCCTGCTCCAGTCTCTCATTCTACTCGACGCCCTAGTCCTGCTTCAGCCTCTGATCCTACTCCAGGCTCTAGTGCTGTTCCAGTCTCTGGTCCTAAGTGTGTCCCTGATGCTGCTCCAGTCCCTGATCCTATTCCAAACCCTAGTCCTGCTCCAGTGTCTGATCCTGCACCAACTGATTCTGCTCCACTCCTTGGTCCTACTCCAGTCTTCAGTCCTGCTGTAGTTGGTTTTGCACCGTTCCCTGATCCTGCTCCTGTCCCCAGTCCTACTACATTCTCAACACCTGCTCCTGTTCCCTGTGCTGCCTTTGTGTCCAGTCCTGCTTTAATCCTAGTCATGCTCCAGTCTCCAGGCCCTGCTCCTGCTCCAGTCCATGGTCCTGTCCTCATGGTCTCTGTTTTCTCTTTGTTTAAACCTGTGAAATTGGACTCATCCTCCTCATCTGCTCATCTGCTCCCATTGTTACACTAGCAAAACTCAAAGCATCTGGCACAGAGACTGGGGTCATAATTTAGGTGTCAGTGGTTTCCGCGAGCCAGCAGGGGGCAGCAGAACAATCACATATCCTCAGAAAGTGTTTTATCTCAACCCAAAATAAACAGCAGTGGCAGCCCGAGACACACTGTGTGTGTGTGTGTATGTGTGTGTGTGTGTGTGTGTTTGTGTGTGTGTGTGTGTGTGTGTGTGTGTGTGTGTGTGTGTGTGTTCTGGGAGTTTATGTGTAGCTTTGAGAAAAGACCTCCAAAAATTCCACATTAATGTCAGAGTGCATGTGTTCCTGAATTAATCTGGGGTTCAGGATTGGGGGTTAAAGGTATGTCACACACACACACACACGCACACACACACACACACACACAAACACACAACACACACACACACACACACACACACACACACACACATCTGTTCCCTGTATATCCCTGTTATAAGTTCAGTGATGGATGACAGAAAGGAGAGCAAAGAAGAATGATAGAAAAACACAAAAGCAGAAATGTTAACATGAGAGAAGGATGGGGAAAATAAAAGTATAGAGAGGGATTAAAGGGAAGTACAGAAGTGTACAAAAGTTTCCAAAACTGGAGTTTAAAAAAAAAACCTCCAGAGAAAATGAGGCTCCTAACTACCACCTGGAAGAGCTGGTCGACCCCAAAACTGCCCCCATCAGATAAACAGCACTTAAAGCTTTCATCTCTGAGAGAGAGGAGAAAATCAAGCTGATCAGATCTGAAAACATCCACAGGTGTTTCTGTCCATCCTTCCACTGTGAGAAGACGACTCAGCGCTGTGGGTCTGAAAGGATGTGTAGCTGATCAAGAAGAACCTCACTGAGAAAAGGAGACGGACACATCAAACAAAGAAGCTGAAC